CCACTTTTTGAGCAATTACACAAACTTCACTTCCACGTGTGGGTGTGCGCAGCTTGCGGGCTTTCCTTTTATATGAATGCTAGCAAGCAGGCACATTTCTGTTTTCATTCCTAAAATACGTCTTATAGTGTATGGTATCCTCTCCTTAATCCTTATTAAGGAAATCCACTGATCAGATCAGTAAAAATATGGAAAAAAATTATAATTTTTCGGGTTTTGAGGTATCTTTATAGATATCTATATCAAGAATCCATCTTTAGAGGCCTAATTTCTTTATCAAACTTATATAGAGCCGGAAAATGCATTTGAGAGATGTAGCTATGTAGGAAAATCTTCACCCAAAAAATATCTCTCTTTGCAGTTTGCCCAAAATTGTTTATCTGACCAGGATGTAACACTATTTTGAGTAAGTCTCAGAAAGTTACTGTCAGAATTTATTCAAATTTGCACACAATCTTTTTATACACATATTTAGACTATGGATGCTCAAATACAGGATGCATAAGATCAAAAGGAGGAGATATTTTAATGGACAACGGGGATGTCTTAAACAGATGGTCAGAATACATAGAAGAACTTTTCAAAGATAATAGAGGAGAAAAACCGGTAATAAAGAATGAAATAAATGGACCACCAATACTGAAAGCAGAAGTACAAGCTACCATTAAGAAAATAAAACAAGGAAAAGCCACAGGACCAGATAATATTCCTGTTGAAGTGATTGTCACACTTGAAGAACTAGGCACTGAAATAACCACAAAGCTCCTAAATGCTATTTATGACAGCGGTGAGATCCCAGAAGATATGATGAAGTCAGTTTTTATAGCTTTACCTAAATACCAGGTGCCACTGAGTGTGATAAGCATAGAACAATTAGCCTTATGCGTCATTTTACAAAAATATTGCTGCGAGTAATAATGGGAAGATTGAGAAAAAGTGTAAGACCAGAGATATCTAAAACACAATTCGGCTTTGTTCCTGACAAGGGCACCAGAAATGCTATATTCACCTTAACAATGTTAATGGAAAGAAGTATTGAAGCACAGAATGATCTGTATTTATGCTTCATAGATTATTCAAAGGCGTTTGGTAAAGTTAGACATGATGAGCTGTTTAAAATACTGGAAAAGCTAGACATAGATGGACAAGATCTAAAAAATTGTACTGGGACCAAAACGCTACTGTACGAATTAATGGAGAATACAGTGAATATAAGAGGATCAGGCGAGGAGTGAGGCAAGGATGTGTTATGTCACCAGACCTCTTTAACATGTACAGTGAAACGATCCTTAGAAACATAGAAAAATGTCCAGGCCTCAAAGTAAATGGAGAAAATATTAATAACATCAGGTATGCAGATGACACAGTTTTAATAGCAGGCTCCGAAAAGGACCTTCAATATTGCTTCTAGATACTGTTGTAACAGAAAGTGAACGTAAAGGATTATTGTTGAATGTAAAGAAAACAGAATGCATGGTAATATCCAAAAAAGCAGCAAACCCTAGTTGTAATCTCATTAGCAAAGGTGAAAAGATCAAACAAGTCCAACAGTTTAAATATCTCGGATATATGATAACATCTGACGCCAAATGTTCTACAGAAATAAAAAGGAGAACTACAATGGCTAAGGATAGTTTCAATAAAATGAGCCCAATCCTGAAAAATAGAAACATCTCAATGAACACCAAAATGAAAGTCCTGAAATGCTATGTTTGGTCACCCTTTCTATATGGCTGTGATTGCTGGACAATCACTAAAGACAGTGAAAATAAAATAGAAGCAACAGAAATGTGGTTTCTTAGAAGACTGCTAAGAGTATCGTGGAAGGAAAAGAAATCAAATGAGGTAGTGCTTATTGAAGCCCACGTGGGACGCTCAGTGTTGAAAACAATCAGGAAACGACAAATGCAGTTTTGGGGACACCTGAATAGACATAAGGGTCTTGAACATCAAGCTCTCACTGGCAAAATTGAGGGCAAGCGAGACAGGGGTAGGCCCAGAACAACATACTTAGGGAACCTAAACAAATGGGTAACAGGAAAAGATCAGGGAAATATAGCTTTTTTGAGAGCATCCGAGCAAAGGGATGAATGGAAAACCATGATCGCCGATGTCTGTCGCAGATCTGGCACTGGATGATGATGATAGACTATGACCATATAGAATCATTTTTGCTGTTTATGGCATACAATAACCAGTTTTAGGCCTTTTTTATTTTACAAAATCTTAAAATATTGGAGACCTGAATGCACTGCATAAGAAGGACTGTAAAGCTCACAAGTTAGTACAGAAAATTCAAATTTAACTCTGTAATGTCATTCTACGTATCAACAGTAATCACCATGCCAAATATCAGGCTTCTATCTTGGTGAGTGTTGATGACTGACATAGATAAAATTGGTTTTAAAAATGTTGAACCAATCTTTTATTTTTGATGGCTTGGGATTATTATGGCTAAAATTTTTTTTTTTTTTGCTTGGTAACCTTGTTTTGTACTATGTCACACCCTTTCAGGCAGAAAAGTAAGTATTGGACCAAAAACTATCGCCTTTGGGTGCTGACCATAGCTACAGCCCCTTAACCCGACACTCACCAGTTCTCCCTCCTCAAAAGCCAAATAGTAAAGTGCGTCAGAAAGGGGAACAAACTCTTCCTCCATCAACATACAACCCGTGTCATCGAAGGAGGAAAGGGGGGCGAACTCGAGCGTCACAGAAACACTGCGGCCGTAAGAGCGGACTTGATGAAGATAGCCTGAAGAAAGAGAAATTGCAGAACCAAAAATGTTAATAAATGAGGTAAATAGATAAATTATAACTTAGTAAAAAGAACATAAAAAGGGTGTGGTTGGGGGTGGGGGGATTTAGAAACCAAAAAAAAAAAAAGGAAACGGGGGTGGTAGAGGACTTGGGAATTAGATTGAAATTACTGTCAAGGATAAATTGAATAAATGTTCAACACGTATATTATTGATAAGTCATCTTTTCAACGGTTTGTTGCGAAAGATGAAAAATAGACCCGCCTGAAATGTTAAATTAAAAAAGATAATTTCATGCAACGCAATACTTTTTCCAGTAGTAAAGAGCAAAGAATAGTCAAAGAAGCCCACCTTCTATTATGATCTAAATTGTGTTGTTCAGGGCAAAAAAAACCCTTCCACAATGACATCTGACAACAGCTGTTATATATAGCTTACCAGCAGGAACAAAGAGACAATCGCCGGCGTAGAGGGTAGACCATATCCAAGGGACATTCGGGATGGATTTGTACCGGAACACGTTGATCATATCTGTCGTCATGTCCGAATGGCCACCACGAGAGTTGGGGTACTGTTGGGGAAACAACCCACAAATGTATATGTGTGTGTGTGTGTGTGTGTGTGTGTG